TTGCAATAAGCACCTTATTCATGGCTTATTGCCTTTGGTGTGGACCAATTGAGTGAAAATGAAACTTAAGTATTCTATAGAATGAAACAGTGACACAATACCAAGGAGTGTGAGTATTACTTCAGTGCATTACAGGGATAGTCACAGATATCATCTGCCAAACTTTTAGAAATAGCTTATAGAAATTGCTAATGTATACCAGTTTATTTTTCAACTTTGTACAAAAAGGTGGCAAGATATTATCAAACAAACCAGTTTTACTTAAAATTGTTAAATGTTTGCTTGCTACTGAACATAAGAACATTAATTTGTATTGTATGCATGTTTGGTATTTTACAACTGTTATATTAATTAATTTTGACACTGCATTTGTTTGCTTTGCTTTTCGATATGACACTGCCAATGTATCTTTCAAATGATAGTCCATTCCACCGGAAACTGAGTAAGTATTAAACACAGATATTGCTATATACATGTACACTGCATATGACCTGATAGAGTAACATTCAGTTGATTCTCAAAATTGATCAGGGATTGGACTGTTTTTCTCTACTCTGTTCTATGATTGGTCAAGAAATCTTGCGTCATCCTTTCAACCAATCAGATTTCAACGTAAAACCAATTTTTATTTGTTTTTTTTTTCTGCACCATAGGCAATTTTCTTCTTTTTAGTTTGAGTTCTTATTTGCTTGTTGTGGTTTTAGCCTTGGTTCTGATTAGCCCTGGTCATGACATTTGCATTGGTTTTGTTTTGCCATAATCAATCAAAGACTGCTCTAACTTTGTTCCATGACATTCAACTGCTCAAGAAACTGTTAGCAAGGCATGTATTGTGAAAAAACCTTTCAGTGGGTAGGGGTAGGGGTAGGGGTAGGGGTAGGGGTAGGGGTAGGGGTAGGGGTAGGGGTAGGGGTAGGGGTAGGGGTAGGGGTAGGGGTAGGGGTAGGGGTAGGGGTAGGGGTAGGGGTACAGGGTAGGGGGTAGGGGTAGGGGTACAGGGTAGGGGGTAGGGGTAGGGGTAAGGGAAATTTAGTATCCAATTAAAGTGGAAGGTTATATTGGAATAGACAGGTTTCGTTTCACCCACAGAATACTCTTGGTTTGAGCTTTTCCCTCCATGCTCAAACCCAAACTTTCCCCCTCCCCCCCCCAACCCTTAGTTTTCATTCATACTTTCCTTTGAATTTTTCTCACCATTTACTGTCATTTCTAGGAGAAAGAAATTTGGAGCTGCGAAGTGACCTTGTGGAAGGCTTAACTAAGAGTTACAAGTCAGCAGGTTCTAAACTTGAAAGCTCCACCTTTCATCTCAGCAGAGCACAGACAGCTGCAGTGGTAATTCATTCATTTATATGGTTATGCACTGATCAACTTGAAGCTTCATCATACCTCCCCCCCTCCCCCCAGCAACCCACAGCCTTTGACCATTGTCTGTTCCTTGAGGGGTGGGAATGTGTTTCCAGTGCAATACAAGTGTTTTATCTCTTAATTAATATAGAGGTTGAAGCTTTGAATTGTTAGAGGCATTTTCAGTTTGTTCTTACACAACAATAATGTTTCTTTTATCTGCAGGATGTCTCACATAATACAAGAATGATGCTTGAAGATCTCACTACAATTTCAACATTACTGGAGAGCATTTTGGGGACAGGAAAACTGCTACCTCTTAAAGTTACTGTTAATTATAAGTAGTCGAAGATTCAATGAAATAAATATATTAAACCATATGTTTAATTTTACCCTTTTGTTTTATTAGTGCTTTTAAATAATTGCGAGACCCATGTGTTAATATCCTATATTGTGTCTTTTTAACAGTCAAAACCTGTGTCAAGCAGCACTGTATTAAGAGGTGACCCTGTATCAGCTATTTTAAGCATTGGCTTATCAAAGTCCCAAATTTGCTTCCCCTTAACCATTGTAATATTCACCTCTATTAAGCGGTCACCTCTTTCAGGGAGATGTGGTCACCCTTTACTAAGTCCCAACAGCCTGTTTGTATGATCATCCTTTTGTAATGAAGAGTCAATTAAAGTAATTTTCACCTCTATTAAGTGGTCACCTCTTTCAAGTGGATGTGGTCACCCTTTACTAAGTTCCAACAGCCTGTTTGTATGATCATCCATTTGTAATGAAGAGTCAATTAAAGTAATTTTCACCTCTATTAAGTGGTCACCTCTTTCAAGTGGATGTGGTCACCCTTTACTAAGTCCCAACAGCCTGTTTGTATGATCATCCATTTGTAATGAAGAGTCAAATAAAGTAATTTTCACCTCTATTAAGTGGTCACCTCTTTCAAGTGGATCTGGTCACCCTTTACTAAGTCCCAACAGCCTGTTTGTAGTATGATCATCCATCTGTAATGAAGAGTCAATTAAAGTAATTTTCACCTCTATTAAGCGGTCACCTCTATCAAGTGGATGTGGTCACCCTTTACTAAGTTCCAACAGCCTGTTTGCATCATCATCCATCTGTATTGGATAGTCAGTTAAAGTAATTTTCACCTCTATTAAGCACTCACTTCTATCAAGGGGATGTGGTCACCCTTTATTACATCCTAACAAGCTGTTTGCATCATCATCCATCTGTACTGAATGGTCAATTAAAGTAATTTTCATCTCCATTAAGCAGTCACCTCCATTAAGCAGTCACCTCCATCAAGAGGATTTGGTCACCCTTAACCAGGTTCCAACAGCTTGTTTGCATCATCATCCATCTGTAATGAAGAGTCAAATAAAATAATTTTCACTTCTATTAAACAGTCATCTCTATTAAGGAGATGTGGTCACCCTTTACTAAGTTCCAACAACCTGTTTGCATCATCATCCATCTGTATTGAATTGTCAATTAAGTAATTTTCACCTCTATTAAGTGCTCACTTCTATCAAGGAGATGTGGTCACCCTTTACTAAGTCCCAACAGGCTGTTTGCATCATTATCCATCTGTATTGAATGGTCAATTAAAGTAATTTTCACCTCTATTAAGCAGTCACCTCTATCAAATTAATGTGGTCACCCTTTACTTAGTCTGAACAGCCTTTTGGTTAAAAACTTGATCCTAAAAAACTTTAAGTAGTGCTCTCCCGGGGGGGTCTATTTGTGCATTGATCACAACCAGTACAGTGCAGTAGTGTTTAGAAGTGCTGTAAATAATTACAGATAGATTCCATATGGCTCTATATTCCATACTTGTGCGTTTCTAGATATATTTACAAAACAGGACAGAGGCCAATTTCTCATCTCATGCAAGTATGTAGACTACGAGCAGTCTCTACTTTCCGGCGGAGTCCGCCGCGCGAGTCAAGAATTTCAGTGAAGAAAAAATATTGATGTTAGTGAGGAAAGTAGTGTCCCATTCCCAGAATTCCACACCAGCCTTCTCCTAAAAGGAGGGACGGACTTCTCCATCTCACGGATTTATCTCAGATGATTTAGTTTTCGCGTGATTTCCCGCGTGTGGGGATGACATGAAGACTGACGTACACAAACCGTATCAGAAATGGCTTACAAGAATAACTACTCAGAAAAGAAAGGATAAAAAAAGAAGAAGAAAAATTCTAATGATAATAAAGGGAAAATTGAAAAAGACATCAAAAACAAAATGCAAATTTCACGGGGAGGAGTTACTCGGCCCCCAAGCCAGTTTGAGAAATACTCCTTGTCTGCCAGCTCCAAATCATACTCGGGGAGAAGTTATTCGGCCCCCAAGCCAGATTAAGAATAACTCCTATAGCGTGATTCGAACCCGGACCTCGATGACCTCACTTGCACTCGTTGCGCGCCCACGATTACCAGTCGACCATCTGGAAACTACATATATTGCATGTATAAATTGTCGGTGTAGACAGTTTTTAAATACCGGGTTGGGGGGGTGGGGGGGAGGGTGAGGAAGTTTTCCTGACTGAGAGTGCAATCGAGCATAAAGGAAATTAATAATTCAAAGACTGAGAAAAGCGAATAAAGGAGAACAAAAATTTGCATATGTTCCGGTGGCGGACGGTCTCATATGCCGGGGCTTGTGAAACACGACGATTCGGACACTTTTCCAAGAGGCTATCAAATAAGTGTATTGGGACAATGTTACACATCAGGTTTCACTCATTTTTAACGCTGTGGTATGAGATAACATACCGTTCAAAATTCATATAGGAGACGCATTTGTTTTATATACCTTTCATTTACTTTCTGTTCGCTTTGCACTAGAAGTAGCGTTCGTTTGTTAGATTAATCAAGAATTGAAATGAATCATACAAAGAACTGATAGAAGCGATGTAAACGGGGATTATTGGCATACGTCACAATTGCGGACGGCCTCGTCTGCCGGGGCTCGTTAAACATAGCTTTTCCTTGCAGAAATATCTTAAAAAGACTTAATGCGATCGGGGTATCTCGAAAACTTAGAGGATGAATTTTGTTTTTAGAAGAGGGAGCATTTTTACCGTTTGAATCTGCAAATTATACCAGTAGACCCAAAGATATAACTTTTGTGGCTACTTTTAGACACAAGTGAACGATTTTTTAATTTGGATACTGATGGCCGATTTTGGATTTTGGATTTTGGATTTTGGACACTAATGGCCAAATTTTCCATTTTTTGGTTATCATGTTATTTTAGTTATGGGTTGAATGTCAGTTAGTCACTTTATTCTTGAATCGTATTTCTCTTGGGGAACAGGATACTCATAAATAACTGGGATGCTGCAGGTTTTCAGTTTTGCATGGGAATACAAATTTTCTGTAATACTACCTGTTGCAGAGGTGCCAACGTCTGGAGATCTCAAATCTGGAAATTTTTTTTCGGACCAGCACCCCCTCCCCCCGACCGAATTCGCCAATGCGACCCCCCCCAAAAAAATTCCTAATTTATTTTTACTCCCTACCACCCCCCCCCCCCCCCATCTCACCAAGAAATTTCGCGGGAAAAACGTGGATCTCTCTCTGTCAGGGAGTTCAATTGGTTGAATACTCATCCAATCAGACTCTCGATTATATAGGAGTATAACGAAGAAGAAAGTCGCTTCTTTTTGTTTGCAACGAACAACAGCAGTTCATGCGTAACACAAACGCCGTTTGTTGTCCCTCTATTCTCGGAAGAGATCGGAAAGCATTGATCAGGTAAGCAATGATCAGATTAGGCAAGTCTCGTTTTTGAGTTATAGATCATCACCTTGATTGCGGTCAGGTTGATCAGATTGAAACTTTCCGTGACATCGTTGCACCACGGTCCACAAAGAAACAAAGATTCGGTGGCCGATCAAACAGACAGCTCTAGATAGCATCCTTACGGCATACATTTTTGAGAAAATCTAAGTATAATTGCGGAGAAAGGACTGTACGATCTAAATGAACGCGAAACCTTAAAGCCATTTTAAATTGACACGAGTGACACTTTCATTACGCACAAGACAAAATGACCACGTACAACTGTAGCCTTGAATTAAGTGGGCCATATTTAAAACGTTAGGATAAAGGATAAAGTTGAATTTCTCATCTCGCCAGGAAGATCACTTCGCACAATAATTAATCGGCGCAGTTGTGCGATAGTCAATATTTACTTCTCTAGACTGAAAAACGAATTAAAAACACTATCCTTGAAACTTATTTAAGATTACTTCGGCAAATTCTATTTTGCGAAACGAAACAAAACCAGGTAATTGCTTATTATTGCTTAGGGTATATCATCTAATAAAGTAAAGGTAACTCTCACGAGGATTTTGGAGTAAACGTTAGTCATTGAGTAGGATTTTAATTCGTTTCGCAAAGTAGTTATTAAAGAAGAGTTACTATTTTGCGAAATCGACTATTTTCACCCTTCGGCGGCTATGTGACCTTTTTCATGTCACGAAAATAGATTTAAATATTGCACATTGGTATATTACCAAACCTATTGCGTGACACGAGAATGGCTTCATCGTTACCGCTGGTGTAAATAATCCATTACGCAAAATAGTAATTGTTCTAAAATTACTACTTTGCGAGATTGACTTTATATGGATAGTGAAGGAGGAGGTAACCAAGATCTTCGGGTATATAATATCATGTTGAGTTTAAACGTAATTTTGTGACCCGAAAAGAAAGACCTTATTGAAGGGTGAAAATAGCCCGTTTCGCAAAAGAGTATCTATCCTAAAATTACATGTTTTGCGAAATATATTTTGATACGGTTATAGAAATAAGACTGAGGAGGCCAAAATCTTTGGTAATTTAAAATTTGGGATGTTTCAATGTATTTTTGTGACACGAAAGAGGTCACATTGTCACCGCAGGCGAAAAATAGTTGGTTTCGCAAAATACTAAACCTCTTCCTGAATTACTATTTAGCGAAATGAATAAAAATCCTTCTTATCGATTGACGATTACTCCAGAGTCCTTGTGGAAGTTATCCTTACCTTATTAGAAAATACATCTGCATCTTTCCTTTAGTTTCGTTATTTCCCGCCAGTTTTCGTTTCGTTTCGTTTCGCAAAGTATTCTAAGCCGGTTACTTCTCAGCTTCGCGGGTGTCCTTCGGGAAAAATCGTACGTGCGCTAGTTTCTCTAAAATCCTAGCAAACTATGCATCAGAAGAAAGCTTATTAAATGCGGTTTATTATAAAATTATAATTTAAGCGAGTTTTCCTTTTAGGAAGTGTTAAGAGCCGGTAAGGCGAGAAACGACCTAGGGTTCTTTGATTGAATTTATCGGGTATCGGATGCTGAAGCTCAAGCAATACGGCTGCGCAGTCTTGTTCACAAGGCATCAATCAACAAATGTATTTTGGGCTTTTTCTACATTCTGATTAGTTGTCCAGATATCGACATCTAAATTTGGAGTAGCTAAAAATATGGGAGGCGTGTTGCGTAAATGGACGCCACGGGACAAGTATTTCAAATATCAAGTTTTCCCGACACACTTAAAAGCTTTTAAAAGCTTACCGTAAACATTTGAATCGTCAAACACTTGTTTCAGTTATTAATAATGACCAGAAGTTTTCTTTAGAATTTTTTAAGTTGTGTACCATCAAGATCGACCTATCGATAGATTTAACAATGTAGTTTCGATGCAGTTGCTATTTATCCAAATATGAAAGGTGATATATTTGAGCTCGCTGATTGAATGGAAGAAGAATTTTTTTTTCGTCTTATACACATATGAACCTCTTCATATGAATCTTTTTATGGCTAAGCTAAACATGGAGTCCCTGTGACTCAGTGGTAGAGCATCTGAGCTCGAAATCCAAAGGTCTCAGGTTCGATACCTTATGAGGGCTCACCATGTTTTCTTTTGTCCCAAGCTCGTGACATGACCAAAAAATACTATCTTTTTATATTGTCCAAATATGTTTCCTTCTGCTCTTACATTCAGATCCCGGGATGTTTTCTTTAAAGGACCGTGCATCTTGGACAGGAGCTCAGGCCAGGAGTCAGTTCCGACAAAACGTCTTCCCCGAAGCCCATACAAATGGCATGTCCAATGGTTTTACACAAACTAGCGTTCACATAATTCCGTCGAGCCAGGCAGAACACTTCGCAGAATTTTGCCGAATGAACCACGCCCCTTGCCCCTTACTTTATAGAAGCAACACGGGAGAAGTGTCAGCTCCACCCTTGGCAGCAAATGTGGACATTCGGTAATTTGTGAGATGGCTAGATTTTTATTTTAGACTCGACCATTTTTTAGAAAAAAATCTACCTTTGAAATGAGATTTTGAAGGTAAAATGAAAAAGAGAAAATCCACGAAGACCGAAAATCTCGGCGGCGTTGATATTTTTGTTTGTAACACGAAGTTTATTTTTACATATTGCATCGGACCCTCTTGGTATGAGGTTATGAAAACAGAACTCGTAAAAACGTCGAACCGTGGAGAGCGTAGAGTATTGGAGAATGTAGGAGAAAAAGAGAAAGTCACAGTTAGTTGTCGCTTTGTGCTTTAAAGTGAGGGTTTTCATTTGATGACGAAACAAGCGTGTGCTAAGTTTTCTTTCAAAATTTCTTTTTTTCTTATCCAGTTCAAAACAAGAGTTCATTTGCTCTTGAAAATCTATCGCATTTTCTTAGCTTTGCATTTATTTCTCAAAATTTTCTCAAATAAATAAAATGTTCTCCAATTAACTTAGCTATTTTTTTCGATTATATTTTGATAGCACGGATCTGTCAGCATATGGTATTTATGAAAATGGGGTCTGTTCCAAAACCGTAACAGACTTACTAGATATACCCTTCGACGAGTTTGTTACCTTTTACGTTGGCTGCAGTAGCTCCTTCGAGCTCGCGCTACAAGACGCTGACCTTCCAGTTCGACACGTGCAGATCGGACGCAGTGTGCCTAGTTACAAGACTAAGGTTCCATGTGTCACCTCAGGTCCTTTCTCTGGAAAAGTAATCATGTCGATGCGCCCAATGCCTCGAAACTTAGTAGAGAGGGCCGCGCAGGTGACTGCTTTTTTGGACAAAGTACACGGAGCCCCTACGCACATTGGTGAAGCTTCTTGGATTGGAGTGGAAGATCTGCATAATCCTGAGTTTGATGACAAACCAAATATAAGGGAAGGAGATGTATGCATGTACTGGGGATGTGGTACAACTGCCACGATGGCGATAATTAATGCAAGTATGTGACGTGATTCAAAACCTTTCAAACGACTCTTACCAATGATTTCGTACGACAAAATCAGTTAAGGAATCATCATAGATAATAGCAAACCACAAGTGACCAGGCTTCCATGCCCTGTGTGTTTGACAAAATACGTTTCTCCAAGCGAGGTGCTCTCTCAACGTTCTGAATAGCAGGAAATTTGCTCCGGACTATGGAGTTCAATGCGTCAATAATATAAGGGTACAATCTGGTACACGGTCAATCAGAGAAGAGGATTATAAACCGCGTGGTACATCGAATCGCCATCTTGAATGCCAATCCGGCCATATGGTCAATTCAATTGTACCACGGAGTGCATAATCCTCTTCTCTAATTAGCTGTGTAGCTATTAGCATAGTGCCCCCTTATACTACTTGCGTCGCTTGCGCAAGAGGTTTCAAAACACTCGCGCGTAGTCATCATCATTCCTCCTTCGTTGCACAAGCAGGATTTCACATTTTCGTAGCTTGAAGTAATTGCTCTCCCATCTCTATCCGACTAAATGAAACCGTAAGATAGGCCGGCATTTTAATCAATTGATTAACGAACACTATGTTATTTTGTTTCTCTTCAGAGCTTCCCCTGGCGATTAGCCTAAGCCCAACTGCGAATTGTTGTAACTTCATAAGTGATCTCAACAATGACGCGTTCAACAAGATGAACGTCCCTAGGTGGATGGAATCTCTGCAAACGAAAGCCCTGTTCATAACTGAAAACCCTGTTTTTGGTTCCCTTGTGTCCGACAAAGCACTGGAGCTGATTCAGCAACTTGAAAAACTGCTCAGACGGGATCCAATAAAATCACTTTTAAGTAGTGGAATTGACGATACAGTTGACTCACTTGCCAAGGCAGCATTAAGACTTAGCCACGCCTCCTTTGTTGCCATAGTTACGTCAAATGACATTTCTACCAAGGAAGGACTCGGTGTGCTGTCTATCATGAAGTCTCTCTTGGCAACTGATTCTAAAGAAGTCGTTTTGCTTGTCCCGGAGGATAAGCTCGCCGAATGGAAAAATGCCATAAGCAGTGGCATCGATTGTAAACTGTTAAAGAAAACAGTTGGTGTGGGTAAAATCGAAACAAGAGACGGAAGCTCAAAGGATGATGTTTTAAAACTTTCTCGTCACGTGTTGTCAACTACGGAGGGCTTTAAACTGGATGATGTTCGTCCTCGGCGGTTTACTGCTCTGGTTGCCTGTGATGGAAAAGGTGAGTACGATCAAAGTGGGCTGCTATGGATTTTTCTTCTGCTAGAGGGCTTCCTAGAGAAATTTTTGTTTTTTTTCTTAATCTAGACAATTCTTAGAAATTTATGAACCAGCGGTTTATTATATAGGGGGGTGTTGACTATATGTTAGTTACGCCTAGGGAGGTTCGAATACACACAGATTATTGACTCCGTTTCATTCAACATTTCTTCCAGGAGGTTTTTGGGTGGAGAGTGCAGTTGAACTGTTGATGGAAGCTAATGTGGAAGCTTATGTGAATAATTCGTCAGATGGTTCCTGGCCTGGTGAAATAATCGCAACAGCGCTTTACATACTGAATTGCTGTCCTATCCACTCTCGGTATCAGCGAAGGGGTTTGGGCCTGCACAAGCCGTTACAGCAGAGCGTATTTTTGGTAACATACGAAGAGGTAACAAGTATCTGGTCTCTTTATTGTGCTTTATACCGCTATAAGTAAAATTAAACGCACTATTTGGACTTCCTCAAAACCGTTTCTTTTGATCATATATAGATCTGTAAGTTAATAGAAAAAGGTTGAGAATTAACTGGCCTGGTCACCCAAGATGCTCATAAGCATAAGTAGAGTGATATTCACGTGACTTACGTCAGCGGATATTAGTGATTGGAGGAAACAAACGCAAGAATCTACCTCGGCCCACGCTCCTCACTGACTTACTCTACTGTCTAAACATGTTCTAAGCATGGCCCCCTCCGCGTGAGATAAATTTTGCTTAGAGAAAACATTATACTTTCCAAACAAGAAGGTTACTAAGAAAAAGATCCCATTTCCACAGCGTTACAAATTAGAAAGCAACGCCAATTATCCATAGCAGGGTTCTCTTTTTCTCGTTTTAACCGCCCAAAATCCGACTGTGACCAATTCATACTAGATTCCCTAGTACACAACAATAATTTATATTTCTTTCATTTCAACAGCTTGCAAACCTGACGTCCAAGCTTGAATTTTCATTCGATACCCAAGTAGTAAAAGATCTCGTTGAGAAGACAAACGCCTCAGCGTCAAGCGTTTTGGAATGTCTCGGTGTTAAAGATTGAATATAGTTTAACATGCCCTGCCCCCACCCCTCCCTTCCTTAATCAACTGAGATGCATGTAGCTGGCAACACTTTGACGACGAAATTACTCTTAGTTAAGAATGTGGAATTATGGTCACTGATTATGTTCAAGTGAAAGGAATGATCTTATCAAATGAAATTGCTGTGTATTTAGTCCTGCAGCGATCATTTGTTTATGTCTAACAGTTCGTGAATATCTGAATTCAAAGTCCGCAGTTATTTAGGTTTTAAGCCGTCACGTCTTGTTTAACTTTCATCAGTGAACGGGCTGAGTTTATCAACTGACCTTTGTTTGGACCCACACACAATTTCTTGTTTTGGTTTTTGCAGTTAGGCTTAGTTTATATACTTTTTTTCATCTTTTTTTCATGAGATTCTCGAGAAAATGTTTGGGTAATTGGTTGCATCCTCCAAACTCAGTTGGCTGCATGGCCACACATAAAAGTAAATCAAATAAAATGAGAATTTAGCAGGTGGTTCTTCTTGTCCGCTGTTTACATATCGAATGAAATGTTGGTTTTTGCGGATGAAGGAAAACCTGAGGACCCCGAGAGAAACCCTCGGAGCAAGGACAGGAACGAACAACAAACTCAATTCGCATGTGACGCCGGGAATCGAACCCGGGTCATGCCATGTCTACCAATGAATGAATTCTTTGTGGGTAGATTTTTATAACCTGGCATCAGCGACCTGCAGGCCGGGAGAAAATTGTTACTCGTTCAAAGAAAATACACATGAGAGAAGTTTTGTTATGTTTTGTCAAGTTTTCTTTTTTCAGTTGTGAATGTAGAATTGTGTACTATAGATAACATCTAATTTCGAAAAGAATAATAATAAAAAGAAAAAAGACAAATAAAAGCAACAACCAACACCTGCAAAAACCGTATCAGAGAAAGTGCCACCGTGACCCAATAAATGTTCAGAGTAAAAAAAGATAAAGGAATAACATTGCTAAAAATGCTGATTAGTAGAGGAAATAATAGAAAAGACAGCAAAAATAAAATGCAAATATTCCATGGGGAGAAGTTACTCGGCCCCCAAGCCAGTTTGAGAGTTACTCCTTGTCCGCAAGCTCCAAATCATACTCGGGGAGAAGCTATTCGGCCCCCAAGCCAGATTAAGAATAACTCCTGTAGCGTGATTCGAACCCACGGCCTCGATGACCTCTCCTTTACTCGATGCGCGCCCACGATTACCAGTCGACCATCTGGAAATTGCATAATTGTCAGTGTAAAGAGTTTTGAAATACCGCGTTGGGGGAGAGGGTTAGGAGGTTTGTCTGACTGAGAGTGCAATCAAGCGTTTCCGGTCAATAACAAAGGAAATAAATCATACCAAGAACTGAGGACGCATTTATTATACAAACATTCCTTTTACTTTATGTTCCCTTTTCACCAGAATTCATTTGTTATTATTAATCAACAAAGATTTGTAATGATGGCGGCTGTGCTGGTAAATGAAAGGAACATTACAAATTTCCTTTTCGCCCGTAAAACATTCCATCCAAAATACATATATTATATCCCTAACAAAGAGGCATAGATATAACTCATAACACTGTGAAGCTAGAGGCTGGAAATGGGAAAGTGTTTTTTTAGTTTTTTTTTTTTTCGGCTTTTGTCTTTTGTTTATGGAATAATCCACGTTGCTATGCGAATGTTTAGTAGAAGAAGCAGCCTAGAGTGTCGCTTATATTTTAACCAGATTTTGATCTTTCTGTGATTTATTTCGATCTTTTAAAAAATGAAAATAAAAAAACAGCAAGGAAGGCTCAAAATCATACAAAGGGCTTGTCAATATAAAATTATTCAATGCTAAATTAACTTCGTCGTCACGAATTGTTTTTATATGCAAAGTTCGTCTTGATCGGCATTTAGTAGCTTACAAGATTCCGTGTTTATGCTGCAAACCTTGACCCAGTCACTCCCTTGAGTTTAAAGATTCTCGAGCCAAAAAAGAAACTCCTAACGTCGATCAAGTTAGTCACTTAAAACTTTTAAATCTAAGGTATCAATATAAGCCGGGATAACATCAAACAAATCCAGGTGTTTAAGGGCTACGTGACTAAAGCATAAATGCGCTTTGAACCTAAACAACACTAAATGCTGAGGGGGGAAACAAGTTTTTCTTTTAGTATTTAGTTCCACTAAAGATCTTCGCTTTATTTGAAGATTTTTACTGTGTTTTTTTTTTATGACATTTGATTATTGTTTGAGCTAAACATGTGAGCTTAACTTTTTGAGCTCCTTATAAAGTACCATCGACCTGAAGGTTATCATTATTCCAAGATCTCTATCAAAGTAGCCTCCCGCAGTCGCTATGACCACCCTTTTGTTATGCAGTTCCTATTGACGCAAGTGACGAACTTATTTGCCTAAACGCGTTCTATAACTAGTTAAGTAAATCTTCTTACATGTGGAAGCCCCAGACTTTCTGGCATGATAATTTACTGATACCGTGACTAGTTCTAATTCCAGAGGTTTTAGGACGGTCGAACTTTTCGAGGTGATCGATCATCCAGAGGCATTGAACAAAAACTTGACACTTCATGTTGAAGTAGACATTTGCAGTTGCTATAAAAACCCTTTTAAGATATGATTCAATAAATATTGTGTTCAAGAAATTATCTTTTTTCCTTAGACGAGTTTTCCAGTTGGCTGATTGCGAATAGTTTCAGAATTTACAAACAGTATTTGATTTACCTTCGATATTTGAATATTTCTGGGTTTTTTGTGATGATTTTATTTCCTAATTAAAGTTTAGGTGAGTTGGGTAAATCTTTCTTATCATCCTTCAGAAATGTTATTATGTTAGCTTTTCTCACGGAGTACTCGTTCCCTGACTAAAGCAGCAGAAAATGTAAATATTTTTGGCTACTGACGACATTTCACACACCAAGAATCTCGTAGTGACGACCTCAACTAGGTAGTGGCATTTGATGTCGCCCCTCGGAGTTTCATTGCTAAGACAAGTCTGACTCGAGTAGCGCGTATTTCTGCTGTGTCAGTCCCTTGGGTAAATCCACTTTCCTTCGGGTATATAACGTATATAACTTCAACATGCGCATACTGAGACTTGTAAGGCCACTGACAATAGCCTAAATCCTCCTATTACAGTATTGAGGGTCTAATTGGGCTACCCGATAGCCTTAAAATGGCCTAAAAATTTAGCCGTTAGGTGTAAAAATTGACAAATTTTAAGCGTTAGTCGTAAAAAAAGTTAACCGTAAAAAAACACTTCTGGTAACATCAATGGAAAGATATTAACCGTTAGCCGTAAATTGGCCAAAATTTAACTTGAACCGTTACCCGTGAAAGCCATCACCCCATCGAGACCCTCAGCATTGTCCAAAGTTAAATTGCAGCAACTTTGGAAATAGAGTTTTACAAAACCCGGTAGACCAATTTTTGGCCCACTCCTCTTTACTTTAAGGACGAGGTCAAAATCAAATTTTTCCGTTTGATCGGTGATAAGTAATCAACAACGTCATCACATTTTGCCTGAGGAGTTGTTCAGTAAATTTAGTAAATTTGACAAAATAAAAAAGTTTAAGGTAATGAGAGTTACCTCCCGCATCAATTAGCGAAAAAGAGCTCTAGCCTCTGAACAGGACCACCACTCGTGTTCAACGTTGCTTATTACCTGAAGCTGAAGCTAATAAATATATTGTTTGGAGAAAGTGCGATAGCATCATGTCATGCTCAAGGTACAGCCATGAAAAAGCCATCAGCAAATTACCAAGCACAAAGGCTTGCATGTTCTAGACGAAAACAAAAGCAGTAATGTGGTTTCCTCACAAGTTCCTGCTCACTAATATAGGAAGTGGACGTAAACCGCAATTGCTACAACTTGCAAAGCTCAGAAAATTGCGGTTAACTTTGGGTTGTGTACGTGACACAAAGAAACATGAGCTCACATGCTGAAAGTAGAAGTTGTAAAAGAAGAAAAACCAACTAAGTGGTTCCCCTTGTAAAAACTTCAAATGGAAGGTGCCCTGAGTTCGAATTCGACAGTGAGTCATGTGAGAAACACTTATACATTGGAGGTTTTTAAGTCTTTTAGTTTAAAAGATCATGTGCTTTAAGCCTTATGCAAAGCATGAGCACATTAATTCACTAACAATTTCTAAGTTCAATGAATCATTCTACGCAAACGGAAATGATGTTGATAGTGATGATGATGATAATGATGAAGATGATAATAAATGTGGTCATCACTTTATCTTAAGTAGTAATAAAAATTAGGTAAATTGTATTTGTCTCTAAAGTCAATAGAATATAAATCTTACACTTACACAAGTTTCCAAAAATGCATGTAATCTGAACAATCTACACCACAGAAATATCTTCCATTTGCCGGTCCTTCTCGCTCCGTGAATACGAGCCCGCCGATACACAGAGAAGTAAAGCGGAGTAAGCCACTTACCCATGACGCGGTCAAATTCGTAAGGGTGACCCCCCCCCCCACGGTTAAGCTCCTTCCTCCCACTTAAACACATCCACCCACACATCTTTCTAATCATCCACTCGTTCCTTCTGCGGTTTTGTTTTGCTTTTTTTTCAAATTGCTATGTATATGTAAATTGAGTGCAGACAAAAAGGCATTCCTACAAACACACAGGACAGTCATTTTTCTCTTGGTTTCAAGTACTCCACAAGATTCAGAATTTCAGACGAAATTTTGACCCAGTTTCAAGCAAAACTTAAAAACACTTGAGCAAGAAAGGAAAACCATATCTGCGACCAAGTAAGTCAATTTAAGTCCTCTGGGTAGACGTCACATGATCAGCTGCCATAACTAAGAACAGATTTTCGAATCTAACTTTCCTGTAATGACACCATAAGCTTCGTCTACATCTATTTTGCCAGGAGAGATGGAGTTTTTTTTCCTCCAGTTGATCTCGAAAGAAAGATGAGGGGCCTTCGCCGAACATGCAGGTTTTTTTTTGCTCCGTACTCCGATAAAAAAATTTACCTGCCATCTGATCGTTGATAGT